ACACCCCATGCAGCAGCATGCATACAGTCTAATCCTTCTCCCCCTACACACAACTGCTCTTGGCCACCTGGGTCTAAGGGCGCAGGGAATCCCAGGGGCTCAGGTGACTGCAGTGGGGTTTGGAAGAGTGTGGTGATTTCCGGGTGATATCCCCGTCTCAATACCCCAGTGGACTCCTGGCTCGTTGGGAGGGGCCCCGCTGGAAGCAGGCCTGGGCAAGGCTCTCCAGGGTGGTATTAAAGCTCCAGGTGGAAGACATCCCGTGCTTTGAGCCAAGACAGCCACCAGGAGAGTTCAGGTCCACGAGATGTTCTGGAGGAATCCACCGGGGGTGGTGACCAGCTGAATGAGAAGGAGGAGAGGGATCAGTTCTCAGCGAGTTGAACAGCAAGCTCAGATGGCTTTCTGAGGTCAGCAGAGAGGGGAGGGGCGGGTTTGGGTCCCGGGGGGGGGGAAGATGCCCGAGGGACACCGTGGCATCCCCGGAGAAGTCCAGGAGACATGTGGATGAACTTGTGGGTCTGCAGCTCGGAGAATAGAAGGAAAGTAGTAGAGAAGTAGGACAAAGGTTGGGCGGCATCAGCACGGAGGTAGCGGTTGATGCCAAGGCCATGGTGAAGTTGCCTAGGAAGAGTGTATTGGATAAGCAAAGGCAGAAGAGGGAACCCTGAGGATCGCTGGCATCTGGGGGTGAGCAGAAGGCTAGGGGCCCATGCAGAAGTCACGGAGGAGTGGCCAGAGGAACTAGGAGAGGAAGAATGTGCTTCCAGGAGGAGCACATGATACAATGGCCACTGGATTTGGTTCTGGCAGTTAGGAGCTTCCGGTCTTAATAGTTTCAGTGGAGTGGCAGGAATAGAAACCTTGTTATGCTGGGTTAAAGATTGAACTTGGCAATTTAGAGCACTCTGGCAGGGTCAGAGGTCAAATGGGACATGTGAAGGGTCAAGGGAGTTGAGGGCTGGCATCTGTTTTACACAATTTTGCCTGAAGCCTTAGAATTTAAACATGTCACCAATGGGGTGGCAGCTTTTTAGGTTTGCTACAGTGAGCACACTCATTTTATTGGAAGGTTGGTTTCTCAGCAGTCTCTCGCTACCACCCCCCACAACAGAGGTTTCCGGGTCTATCAGCACGTCAGCTACAAGTCACTTTTGTATTTGGGAGAGAACCTGTTATGAGAAACAAAAGGACGACTGTCACAGCCACCTGAAGATAGCAGCCAAGCCAAAGTGGCATTCCCAAGAAAATGGTTATTCTTACTGCACTGAAGTCAATTCAGTCACCAAAGTGGTTTCCCAGAAAACAGTGATACAGAAGGCTTTGACAGAGGATCCAAGTTGACACACAGCAGTGGGAATGTCATATTCCAAGAGGATTGACGGAGGCTGAAAACATGTGGGCACAGACTGATGGGAAACAGAAAGTACATAACTATCATCTGGTGTCTGGCTCATTGCCCGTGCCTTATAAGAGCAAAAATAAGACATTTCTGTGTCCAGGCAGTAAGATGACAATACATGTTGTTATGATCAGCATGTGGGGGACCTTAAAACAGTGAGCAGGCTCTGAACACCCGCTTTGAGGGGATGACGTGGCCAGGAGAGCCCTCGCGCTGTACAGTCCTGTCACTTTGTTTTTCACATATCGTCCTATTCTCGGGCAGCATAAATTCTTTTGCAGAATTACAGGATGCCACGGCAGAGAAGATGGAAAAATGCTGTCATACATCTGTATCGGCAGCTGCACCTTGGCCATCTCTTCCATGGGGCGGGTGGGAGGAGATATGGGGGCCTGTTTTTGTTCCTGGCTCCTTTCCTAACCTTATTTTTTCCAAAGAACAATGGAAGTAAGTTGAAGGTAGCACCGTGTGTCACGTCCCTCCGGTTCCCGCAGACTGACAAAGCTCGCAGCCTTGCAGGGTGGAGGGTGATGCTTTTGGAACCGCTGTGACTTGCCCTTCCTGTGGAGGTGGCAATAGGGGTTGTGACAGCAAATCTAGAGAAAAAGGGAAACATATCTAGGGAAACAGGAGAAAACCCATCTGTGCTTCTGGCAGTCCCTTTGTTTTGACTTAGCTGTCCCTCCAGAGAGTTGACAGACTCTCTCACTGGCCTCTCAGCTCCCACAGCTCTCTTCTCTGATGTTTTAAAAATAGCCCCCAAAGTAGAAAGGAATTTCAGGGGTCCTCTCTTGTCTTGACTGGCGCACGACCCAGTAATTATAAAATGATCTTCGCAGGAGCATTGTCTTAAGCAATCCAAAGAAAAGAAATGCACTGTCGCTGGCGATGCTGAAATCTCTCCAAAAAGACATTCTTCATGAAGCCGAGAGCCAAGATCTGAAGGTCATTGTCATTTCAGGTATTTATCTGATGTCCATCCTCAGTGTTCTGCAGAACCCAGAGGAGGTGTCTCAAAATTCTTTGGTTAACTGGGGCATTCTCTCATTCAAAGGGAGAATTGTTTTGGAGCTCCTTTACAAGAAATTAATTATGGAGAACTTGTGTGTAGTTGGAACTGTGGTCCTAACACTGTTGGCTGTGGAAATTACAGCGAAGATTACCATGCAGTGAAAATATGTGTCTTTTCCTTTTTGTCGGATACTAAACATTGCCCCACGCGGTTCTGCTGGTCTTCCTGTTAAAATCAGAGAGTTGATTTCCTCACGGACCTTCTCCAGTGGGTTTACGCCGGGCCCTTTGGAGGACTGCCTGGAAGCTGGGACCAGGCTGCTAGGGCCCTTGATTGGTTTGTCTCTCTGTTCTGACCAAGCTTTCAACTGAGAGCCGCAGTCTTCTTGAACGGTGCCTGAAAGCGTGCCCTATTTACCCATTTCTTTCCTTGCTCTCTTTCCAGTAAGAATTTTTATCAAATTACCTGATGATGATGGCGGTGGTATAAGTAATAGTAATGTCTGTATTTTATTTTATTATTTTTTTAAATGGAGGTGCTGGGGATGGAACCCAGGACCTCGTGCATGGTGAGCATGTGCTCTACCACTCAGCTCTCCCCCTACGATGTCAGCATTTTAAAGCATCTACAGACAAGAAACGTGGATGATGCTCTGTGATGCTTTTTTTTCCTAATTAGGGTTCAGTATTTTTGGAGAATGTGACCATCTTATCAATGGTGGAACATACGCTTCCAACTGTTCTATGTGGGGAAGGGAAAAGAAACAGAGCTGGTAGAGGTCAGGTCAGCAGCTGAGGGTGGGGGGAGTGGGGGTGTAACCTGGGTGCGGCCAAGGCAGCTCACTTCCAACCACACCGTCTCCTCACTTGTTTGAAGGGACCAACACTGCCTGTCAGAACCAGGCCACCAAAGGAAAGATGAGAAAGTGTTATCAGCTTATCAGTGGAATTACATTTTGTTGTTGTTAATGACAACCGTGACAATAAAACCACATCCTGCCATCTCTTGTTTATAAAGTAAAGGGACTGTCTTCATGCTCTGACCTTCCTGATGCCAACCCGAGGGGTGGCCGCATCTGTAGACTAAATGGCAGGGCCGCTGCGGAAGGCCCGGTGGTTTACACAGCCCTGGATGAGTCCACACACTCAAGCCAGGCCGAGTCCAAAAACAAAGGAGTGACACACCAAAGGGACAACTCTGAGCAAAGTGCAGCCTTGGTCACAGCCTCCTCTTTGTAGACACGCGCTGCCCCTGGTTTCCATGACTCCTGCGCTGTCATCACAGGATACTGGCCATAGCTCTTCAAGCTGACTGGAACTATTCTTATCAAAATCTGGCCATTAACTCTAAGTGCCCACAGCATGCATAGGCTCGCTCCCTCCAGTTACTCAGTGGACAAGGAAGTGAACGTCCCCACTCGGGTTATTTACATCTTTTTCTTTTCTTTTCTCAATTGGAAACACTGGCAGCTGAGGGGCCTGTATTCTCCTCTGGGCATGACTTAAAGGAACTGACGGATGAACAAGGCCCAGATTATCACGCTGAAGTATTTCGAACCTGTTCGGAGGTAAGCCAGGGTGGCGGTCGACATCACAAGCCTGGGAATGATCATCATATTAAACGTTGCACTAGCCCCCTAGTTTACAGATAAGGTTTTAGCCAGGACATGTAACCACTGCAGAACTGTGACACTCCTGTGGTCATTGGTGAGCCCTTCACCCAAGCAACTGTTTGGTTTGGACTTCTCATTTCATGCTTACTGTGTGCCAGGTAATATTTTGAGAACTCCAGATATGCTAATTTCTGTAATTCTCGTGTTCTGTAAGATGGTTATTGTGATTATACCCATTTTACAGATGTTAAGATTGAGGGATGGGCAGCAAGGAAGTGACAGGTGGGGTAGCAAACCCCAGCAGCCTGGTTCCAGACCACCGTGCTGATACTTCTCCTGGGAAATTTCATTGTAATGAGAATACAGCATTCCACGGCATGGAGATGGTTCAGTTTATATAGCCATTTACTTGTTTTTATATATTTATAGTTTTCACTATTATAAAATGATGATTTGGCAGACGTCTTTATCCAGATAGCTTTTCACCCTGTTTCAGATTGTTTCGTGGAAGGCGAATTCCTAGATCGAAGGTAGGGTTATTTTAATGCTGCTGATACACTGGATTCCCTAAGTATTTCCCAGCAGCTTGTGCGGAATCCTAGCCCCTCCTGGACGACAGACAGGAGACAGACTGTGCAACCCAAGCCACAGCCACAGCCAAGCCGTACCTTCAGCAGGCTAGGTGGCGCATGACACCCAGACCCGACACAGACCTTTTCTGTCTTTGCAGGAAGGCTTCAGACGCCCCTGCACTTCTCCTCGGTATTGGAGGTCCAGTGAGAAGGGGTGCTGCCCCTCCCCCTCCCCTACATGCACGGCCCCCCAAGCCCACCAGCCGAGGAGAAAGTATGTGCATTCTCCTCCGGGAGGGTCAGTTACCAGATTCTCAAAAGGCCACCCTCCAAAAAAGTCAAAAATATGATACTATATCCTTACATAGATAGTTGGTCACTTTATGATAAAGCTGGCAAGCACAGGGGTTCATGAACACAGAGATGAGACTTCTTCAGGCAAAATCTTCGAACCCCTGAAAGTCGTTTTGCTTGGCGTTGCCGCGTGGGATGCCAGCCCAGAGGTGGTTCCCGTCCCCCTCCCGCCAGGGTCGAAGGGCAACCATTTATAAACTGAAGTTCCCATAGCGGCACAATCTGCTTAGAGTGTCAGGGAGAAAAATGGAGAAGTTAGTCAATTTATTTCATCAGCTGCAAAAATAAGTCAAAGTGCTGAAGATCTGGGGGGAGGCCCCACACGGGCCAGCTTCTGGCTCCCCCTCTGTGCCAATGGCTCTGTCTTAGGAATCCTATTGATTTTGATGACAGCAGGGTGTTCCCCCCATCTTAATAGAACTGAGAGCGTGTCCATGGTGGTGATTTGAGAGGTAATCACTAAGGAAATTTGTTGACCAGTCCTTTCCCACCTTAATTTTTCAAGGAAGTACCCAATACCAGTTTCTGACTTTTAATGCCAGAGCTCATGCAGGGACGTCAGAACAGAACTGCTCGTTCCCAGAGGTCAGGGTCAGCCCTCTGCTCTGGCGGGGTTGCTAGGGGAGCAGCAGTGGGGACAGCATCCTCGTGGAAGCCATGCTGGGTGGACACGCGAGGGCCTGGAGTCGGACAGAGATGGCGCAGACCCCACAGACACCCCTGCAGATCTAGTGGCCTTAGGGGGTCTCTTCCCCTCTGAGCCTGGTGTCCTGGTTCCTTCCTCCTGAGTCTTAGGACGGCCAAGCTGTGCGGTCTGGTTCACAGTCGCTATTTAATGCAAGTTAATGCTCTGTGTGGCTTCCTCTACCCATTTTTCATAGTCTCAGACACACCCATGCATTGAAAAGGGCTCTTAGAACAGCAGAGTCACAGGAGATAACAGGCATTAATGTCGCACCTCACGCTTGGATGATGTGAAGCCGGTGTGTTTGCTTCTCCAGGTCATGATGATGATCCAGAATCACCCGGTCCCCGTCATCGCGATGGTGAACGGCTTGGCCACCGCGGCCGGGTGCCAGCTGGTGGCCAGCTGTGACATTGCTGTGGCGAGTGACAAGTCCTCCTTTGCCACGCCGGGCGTGAACATCGGGCTCTTCTGCTCCACCCCCGGGGTTGCCTTGGGGAGAGCGGTGCCGAGAAAGGTAAGGGAACTGCCCGCACGCACCCCGCTGGTTGTGATCCTCCAGTGCCTGGGAGGTCAGTTCCAGGACTTTCTGGTTCAAGGTGCCGTTTGGTTCAGAACAGCCTGGCTGATACGCCACGTGTTCCTGCTCCTGTCTGGACTGGGGAGGGATGGCCAGCTTCCTGTTCCTCTGTGGCTCCTCCCAGGGGCCTGCAGTTTGTAAATCACAGCATTTCACTCTTACCTGCGCCTCAGCACAGCTGGTTAGGTTTTGGATTTGCATTGTTTTCCCAAAGGTGCACATTTTTTGCACTCATACTCGAAATGCAGTTGAGACCAGTTTTATTGCACAGAAAGGTGGGCCATGAGATAGAATAGCCTGGTGACATCGGCCAGGCTGGGACACTAGTGTCACTGGCTGATTGCTGACAGTCTGCCTCGTTCCCGAACGGACTGAAAGTAGCCGATACACTGCGTGTGTGAGGTTTGCAGTGGTTGCAGGAACATCCTGTTCATGGTGTGTCGACCCCAAAAGGAGCCACATTGCCAAAAGTGCTCTGTCATCGCTAACCAGAGTGAAGTCCACTTTCTTCACAAAGCTGTCCTCTTTCCTATAACATCGTTAAAGGTTTAACTGAGCATCTCTTAAGTGGAAACTGGTGGTTTCCTTGTTCCAGAAAAATGCATCCTTGTTCTCAACTGGAAATCTGTTTTTAAAGGTGGGGACCAAAGTCATAGCAAGTAGGGAACCTAAATTGCTTTCTAGAATACATTATCTATTTTAGCATCAACTAGGAATATTAGCAGCTGCTCAAATGCCTAGGGCACTAGAGAAATGAGACCGAGGGAAGTCAAGGCACAGGACTAAGAAGAAAGTCCAGGGAAGCACTCCTCCCTTCCGTGTGCCTCCTCATTCGTTTTTACAGAAATGTGTGTTTGTGAGAAGATCCTGCAGACAGATAACTACAAATGCACACACTTAAGAAACCCAGCCCAATGGCACCATGTTGGAAAAGGTGACCCTCAAAACCCAGCAGGTCACTCCAGCATCCTCAGACTCGGGGGGGACTTGGATCCTGCCCGGAATCACATTTACCTTAAATGTTACATATTAATTCGAGAAATACTTCTTAAGTCCCTACTCAGGGCCGGGACATTAAGTTAAAGTGCATTACCAAGTTATTGTTGGAGCTCATTCATGAGCTGTCTTACAATTGTGCAAATCAAATCTCTGAGACCTTTTGCACATTAAAGGTGGTTGTCAGCCTGGCCTACCTGCTGCTGTTCAGTGTCAACACCTGACATTCTGGAAGGTTCCATGATGAGGCATTTGAAACTTTTAAATCAGCCTTACTGTTGGGACAAGAATCCATTCTTTCTTAAAACAAACTTAAAATCAAGGCTTAGAAACTGAGTCCTAGAAACTTACAGAATGTGTTATATGTGTCCAATTTTAAATTCCTTTTTGAGAAGAAAGAGGGAGAAAATATGACGGGAACAGGCCTTAAAGTCCCGGAACCATGTTGCAGAAACCTCGCCTGTGTGGTCCCCTCTAGGAGGAAAACTAGGGGTTCACAAAAATATAAACCTGATGGGAACGCACCTGCCTGTGGTCATTGCTTGGTCACACCGCAGGGACAGGTCCATACACGGCCTGCGACCCGGCTTGCATCCCCGGGAAGCGAACAAGCAGGTGCCTTTGCCAAGCGGCCTGGCCGGGAAGCTCCATGCCTCTCACGCCAGCTGAGGTCGCAGGCGTGGGTCACCAGTGTCCTCTGCTGGTCACCTTGGGGAACTGCTCAGCTGTGCAGGAAATGCTGCCTCTTGTCCACTGGGAGCCCTTGTGTTCAAGCCAGACTGAGTCTGGGCATGAATAATTTCCCACAGTGTAAAGTGCTCCCTCCCCATGTGAGTTAAATATGCATCTTCGCTGCACCGTATAAACAACCTGCCTGGTGCAGCTGCTCCCTTCCCTTCCCCAGTCACAGTTGATGTTGCTTGGAAACGTAGAGCCAGCCCCTCGAGCAGTGGATACCTGGGGGAGCACATCAAAAACCAGAGCCCCCTCTTCCCAAACCAGTCAGGTCGCCACGCGGGAACACCTGCTTCCACCTGTTTGCCTGCCGTAACTCTGCACCTGGGGAATCTGATTTCCTAATTGTCTCGTTAGATCAGAGTACAACCTCCAAGCTGGTGAGAGTGTTAAGTGAAAACCTTGGTCCTCAGCCTGTGTGCTGGTCAGCCTGTGTGCTGGTCACCAGAGAGTCTGGGGAAATGAGGGTCTCAGGGCCCCCGACCGGCCGCATCAGAATCTGCATGTAACTGTTAACGGTGATTCACGCGGCCACCAGGGAGCAGGGTTCAGCACCGCACCTCACTGGAGGGACTGGGGGTCTCGGTGACTCACCGAATGTCGCCCAGCTAATTGGTCAGTTCCTTCCCCTCCAAGTCCTGCCGCATAGCAGCCCCTGATGCTGGTTCTTGTCCTACGTGTGACCTGAGGGGACCCAAAGACCACTCTGCCTTAAATGACCCCCCCATTCTGGGGCTGTGATACCTGAAGCCAACATTAGTAAGTTGTACAGATTTACAGGAGGAAGTGTGCTAATAACAGCCACTGCACTTATTAGGTGCCTGCTGAGTGCCCGGCACTGCAGTCTAAGCTTTACACAGATTCTCCGTCTTCACAATTCTGCAGGAGGAGGGAGGTCTTGACTTCCATTTTTCAGATGAGGAGATAGACTTAGATGCGTTAAATCAGCCCCTTAAAGTCTTGTGGTTAGTGCGTGGCCAATCTGGGATTAGAGTTTGGGGACACCAGCCTCCGGGCCCAGCCTTGGCCTCAAGCACTTTTTGTTGCTTTTAATGCAAATCTCCCGGGAAGAGGAAGCATGAAGCCGCCACCTTCTGTCAGGGGGACCCAGGAGGTGCCGCCCTACCAGGCTGCAGGAGTTGCTTATGGAAAAGGGCGAGAGGAGGTATTTTATTCTCTTATCTGAAGTTGTAGGGGAAACTTAAACAGTAAGTAAAGGTTGTGCTGATTGACAATAAAATAGGCTTTCCTTTCCTCAGGGACTGCCCATCCGTTATTTAATCTGTCTGGGTACGACCCCTATAAATCTATACGTGCGAAGTAGCGTGAGCCCACCAGGCGGGTGAGGGCCCCGCGGCCAGAGCGGGGCACGTGCAGGGCGGGATCGCGTAGGAAGCTGCCGGGGGGCCGGGAACACGGGTGCCGGGAGAAGGGGCACTCTGCCGATTCCTGGCCCCTTCCCCTGCGCTGGGGCTCCTGCGAGCCTTCTGCGGGGTCCTACTCGACAGCCCTGAGCCAGCAGCACTGGGTTTTCGCTCCCCTTTCAGACAGGGCTTCAGCCACGCTTCGCAGTGATGAATCTCTTCCTGCTCAGTTACAGAGTAGTCTCTAAAGTGGTCCACAGGCAGCAGTTCCTGCCGCCAACATGTCATCATCAAGTTTCCAAAACTGGGCAGCGCTGGGTTTAGTCCACTGCCCTGGCTTTGCAGAGGAGAAAATGGGGCCAATGTCACCTTGTGCCCGGTGCCCAGCCCGCTGTGTGTTCCGTCTGCGCCCCTGACGGCTCCTTTCACAGCAGGCTGAGGGGGCAGAAAGTGGCCCCTGCAGTGGGTGATGGGAGCGGTGGGCTCACTGCCACAGCGTTTTCGGTCCTTGCTTGGCCCCCTCGAGAGGCAGGTGATGGAATCCTCTTCCTTGGACAGAGGCCAGGGCCCCCGATCTGGGGAAGGAGCAGGACACGAAGGGTCCTTCCCTCTCCTGGGCACCCTGGGATCCCGTCCCTGGCGGGAGTCGGGGGCCTGAAGGCCTTAGGGGTGATGGGAGACATGAAGTTTGAGGGGCAGGTAAATGGGCTGAGGCAATGGGCCTGGGTCCCGGGACAGTCAGTGCCTTAATAACCGCACCTGTCTCCTCCCTCAGGTGGCCTTAGAGATGCTGTTCACCGGGGAGGCCATGTCTGCACAGGAGGCCCTGCTCCACGGGCTGCTGAGCCGGGTGGTGCCGGAGGAGCGGCTGGAGGAAGAGACCATGAGGATAGCGAGAAAGGTGGCCTCACTGAGCCGTCCCGTGGTATCTCTGGGCAAAGCCGCCTTCTATAGGCAGCTGGCCCAGGACCTCAGGACCGCCTACCACCTCGCCTCCCAGACCATGGTGGACAACCTGGGCCTGCCGGATGGGCAGGAGGGGATCAAGGCCTTCCTCCAGAAGAGAAAACCTGTCTGGTCACACTGAGTGGCCTCATCAGAGGACCCAGGGGCATAAGCCCAGTGGGCAGCGCTCAGGAAACCTGCTCGCCCCGGCCTTCGGGTCCCCAGCCACCGCCACTGTCTGGTGACTGCTGCACAAGTCAGCCTGCTTTTACCGCATTAGTGATGGTTACAGGGCACATGGTCTGTATTAAGAGCCACGATCCCCTGGGGAAGGAGTGAAATGGAGACTCAGGTGCTGATGTGAGCAGAAGGGCCAGGGGCTTCTAGGCTGGGCCAGCAGTGTTGGGAAGCGAGCTGTGATGTGCCCCTGCCCAGGCCCTGAGGTGTGGGGTTGCCCTCACAGGGGAGGAGGTGGTGGTAAACTGAGGAATGAAGGAAGAAATTCAGCCTGACTGTTACCAAAAAGGGCCTCTAACGTGAGGTGGGGCCACTTGTCTGCTCCAGGTGACACATCTCAGATCTCCACGAGATACTCCCCACTCTGAACATCTTGATTCTGTTGAGAAATCATCATGCCTATGGCTTTGGGATAATCTTACGTGATTAAAGTTTACATGTTTAGAGAGACTGCTAATTTTGTCTTCCCAACCAGACTGTAAACTGGTTGAAAGAAGAAAATCAAATAACTCTTTGATGCCTGGACTGTGGACGTCTCATAGGTGCCTGGTGCTTCTGTGATGAAGGAAACCAGGCCCTGGGCTCGCGGAGGGAAGCACTGGGGAGGGGAGGGAGGGATGCAGAACACACATTGTACCACGAGGTAATGACCTGCTCTGCTTCTGGCAGATTCCAAACCAGCATCAGCCATTCGAGTTCCTTAACCGAGGGAGTGTTTGGATGAGGACCTGAGCATCTGGCTTCCGGTCCAGTGAAGCCCCAGAAATGTCCTGGATCTCTTGTTCTCCAGCTTGCACCCTGGGGCTGATCTGTTTTTCTTTCTTTCTTTAAGTCATTTTTTTTTTTAACCTATGAGGCGAATGTGGCCATGAATGTGATGAGTGCCAAGACAGAGAACCACGAGGCTCCACACAGTGGTTCTCATTCTGATCATAGGGGCCGGCAGCCCCTGCACGGGAGGTGTCTCGAGGGTTTCTGTTGAGACTGGTCAGAGTTCAGAAGAGTGTTTTCCTGGAAAGGAGGTGCAGGAGGCTAAGAATGTTCCTCCAGGAGAGGAAAGGCCATCAGAGCCACCATTCACTGGCCCCCAGGACACTCCAGGCACCCGTGGTATTGACTCCAACATTGAACCCCCATCAGAGTCCAGCGGGGCAGGGCCCACTGTCATCTCCAGTTTACGGATGGGAGTCTAAGACCCATCTGTCGAAGGTCAGTCAGTGAGAACGGGGGGAGAGAGGGGTCCAGGCTCCATCCGCCCCAGAAAGCCGGGATGCCCTTTCCCCGGCCGCCCGCCTTGTGGGGGCGCCTGGGCTGCAGTGAGGCTGGCCTGAAGGCTTGACCCCTGCACCATGTGGCTTTCCAGACCCAAGGCTGGACCGAGAGAGCTTTTTACCTGCCGGAGAGCTTTTACCTTGACGCTGATAACCCACTGGCTGAAATACCAAACCGAGTTGTGGAGGACAGAGCTGTGGCGGTCTGCTCAGAAGTACCGCCTCAGTGGAGCCCCCCGAAGTAGCAAAGCCTCACACATTGGGCAGATGAAAACCAGAGGCTGCCTCTCGGATTCCTGCAGGAGCTGCACCGTAGCCTCAAACCAGGAAGTCCTGGGCCTCTAGGCTGGCTTCCCAGCCTGTGAGCTGCAGCCCCCTAGGGGACTCGCCATAAATCTTAATAATCGCCGGTGCAGAAAATAATCCAGAAGGAAAACCTGCTACCCAACCAGCAGCGCCATACAATTCATCCCCAAGGCAAATACCAATTTGAGGTTAATTTGCATCGCTGCTTCCTTCCACTGGGATAGCCGATGAAGACGTTCCGATGACCACACGTGATGATTGCTTTTGGAAATCCTCGTGTGTTCATCTCCCCGTCCGCACCGTTTACTTCTCAGGGAGCTTTGCTGAGCTCAGCCCAGCAGATCACGTGCCAGCAGGGGCAGGGGCTCGAAAGTCAGTGAAATGGGCATTTCCGCTGCTCGGCCTGGGTGAGAGATCATTCTGAAGGCTAGCCTGGGCCCCAGAGAACAGAAACAGATGGAGTGAGTGACAGATTAATTTTACACCAGTGAATGTGGGGGGACCCGCCAGGCAAGAATGTGCGGTGATTAAATGAGCCGAAACTCGCCAGGCAGCCCTACGAAGCAGCTGTCACTGCCCGCCCTGGTATGTACGGTACGAGGCTCAGAGAAGTTAAGGCACTGGCCGCAGTCGGGCCAGCATGCAGGTTTGGATCTACATGATTCCTGACCACCACACTGTATTGCTCCCAGTGTACTGAAAAGTTTACCATTCCGGCCTGGAGAGACCACCACCGGTACACTCAGAGGAAACCGATCAGGAAGGGCCAAGCCAAGGCCGCACAGCTTTGCTTACCAAAGGGGATTCGGGGGAGAGCACGGATCTGACCTCAAAGGGGTTCAAGTGCCAGGCCTGCCATGAACTAGCTGTAAGACTGTGCAGGTGACGGGACCTCTCTCAGCGCTCAGGTCCCCTTCTGTAAAAATGACCCCCTGGGACCCCCTGGTCGTCCTTGTTCTGGCATTCCGGATTCTACCATGCTGGGATTGGAAACTCACTGCAAAACCTGAAACAGGTAGCTTTTACTCAAAGAAAATGCTCTTTTACAAATGGAGAAGATGGGCCTTTTACCTGGAAAGTGTAAATGACATTGGAGAACGAGAAATCGTTACAGATGTCCAGAGCCTGGGGGCCACATCTGAACCTTTAGAAGATGTCTTCGGCTGGGAAGGGCCTACAGTGGGCAGGGCTCTACCCAAACCGGCAGCCCCCCTAGTTTGGTCCAGGTGCCCCCTTTCTTCGCTCCATCCTCTGAAAACCCACTGCACTAAGTAGGGTTTCCAAAGTATGTTCCCTGGGCGACCGGGCTCCTCCCCAGACTTGCTGAATCACAAATTCTGATTTCTGGGACCCAAAATATGCATTTAAAAAAAGATTTCCAAGTGCTTCTGCTGCACGCTAAAATGTGTGAACCCCTGCCTCAGGGTGGAAGTGACAGGTATCTCTCCAGCAGTATCTGTAGTTTAAAAGGTGGAGGTGGTGTGGCTCTTGTGTTGAAGTTGTGGGCAGTCACTGGAGAGGAACGTGGGGGCGGGGACTTGAGCAATTGGGCAGTTTCAGGGCCTTCCTAGCAACCAGGTGCTCACGTGTCACATGGAACATCAGAATACACTCACATCCTGCACTAAATGTCATTCTGTTTAGGGAAAGGGGTTGAATAATTTGTTTTGAAATGGCTTTAAAATATTTGATTAACAAATGATGGTTATTTCTTGGCAGTCATCAAGAGGTAAGAGTTCAATTCAGCCTGACTGGTGTTGACCTGTTACAGTTAATAAAATACAAAGTTTCAGTCTTGCAAGAGTCTTTCTTTCCTGTTTTAGAGCCCAAAAGATATCTTTCAGGTCGCAAACAGAGGCCCGGGAGAAGCTGCAAGCTGTCTGTGCTGGGCCCGCAGGGTCTCTGGGTGGGATGGTCCCGGCCCTCCGGCTCAGGTGGAGGGGAGGAAGGAGGCTGCGGGGTGAGTGAGTCCAAGTTAGGGTTTAGGGCCCCGGCATGGCCGTCTTCAGACATCCTGGTTGATTTCAGTGCAATATTTCCTTCGGATCCCCTGTTCTGCCCGGGAAGGTCCCTGCACTGACCCCCAAATCAGTTTGCAAGTATTTGTTTACACATATAAGAACTTTTCCTCTTATATGTTGTATGTTTTCAATATTTATCTTACCAAATTCTGTACTGAGATGGTACTTGACAGTTTTAGAAATTTCTAGGAACGTAGTGCTGGCGTCAGCCGCGCGTATACTAAAACTGGAACGACACAGAGATTAGCACGGCCCCTGTGCAAAGATGACGTGCAAACTTGTGAAGTGTTCCATGTTTTTAAATGGGAGTTTGGGATTTGC